GTATTTCCCAACTAAGACAGTGACAAAATAATTACTGCACTTTGTCGGTAATGTTATTCTAGTACATTTCTCCTAATTCTTTCCTCTGTTTCTCTTGCAGAATTGAGAGTATGTTTCCTTGTGTGTCAGATACCCCACTGCTTCATGAAGCAAGGAAAATATGAATTAAAAATTTTAAATACATATCGCTGACTCCATATCGCTGGACGTCTTGTTATAAGCACTGAAAAGGAACAACATAATAACACTAAAATTTTAGGCGTTCTTAAATGATCTGCCTCTAAAAGCATTGGATGTAGCATTGTGCAATTAGGTTTTTCCTTATTTGCTTCATTGTACTACCTGTGTATATAGTTTTTACTTTTTATGTAGCACATAAACTTTGGGGACGGGAAGGGAGGGTGGGGCTAGGGAATCGGCATGGGGATGTGAAGAGCTTGCCTCCATTTAGAGCAAGGAGAAAAATATTTGACTTGTATAAAGAAAGCAGTTTAGGGAAAGGGTTTGAATTGTTTTCTTTAAAGATGTAATGTCCCTTTCAGTGAAAACTGATACTTTATTTTAAAAATCATTCAGATTTTAACACTGGCTACAAATAATCCCTATTTATTTTACAGGAAGCTATTTCTCATTTGGGAGCTCTGATAATTCCGTTATTTAGCAGCAAATAGCTTTTCTTTTTTTAACAACAACAAACTGTCCTCAGTGCTCCCCTCTAGGCCCCCTTAAAATTGGAATTTACCAGTTAATTATTCAGCAGTTAGGTAATCACTCCAGATAATTCTGGGCAAAAAGATCGGGGGGAGTTATGAGTGCTCAGAATTGACCATCTAATTTTTATTAGATTTCTTGAGAAAATTTCCGATTTTCTTTTTGCTTTGGGCTGTATAGACACAGTCAAAATAAAGATCTGTATGTAACTTCACATAAAGAGTGATGAAATAATTTTAAATTTAAAAATTATTCGTTAATTTGCCCAAAGGAAAGCAGTGTTTTAAGAGGAAAATGTGTGTAGAAAAGACAGTATGGTATAAGTGAAATGGATACTACATCTTTAAACAGTATTTTTACATTACCTGTGTATTAAACAAAACCATTTGAAGTGTACCTGTGTACATAACTCTGTAAAGACACTGAAAATTATACTAACTTATTTATGTTAAAAAGAGATTTTTTTTTAATCTAGACAATATACAAGCCAAAGTGGCATGTTTTGTGCATTTGTAAATGCTGTATTGGGTAGAATAGATTTTCCCCCTTCTTTAAATAATATGGCTGTGCTTAAAATGTTGCATACTGAGCCAAGTATAATTTTTGGTAATGTGTGAAAAAGATGCCAATTATTGTTACATATCAAACAATCAATAAAGAAAACTTCCATAGCTATTCATTGAGTTGAACTGTATGTAATGTGCTTTTACTAAGCTTAAGGTATTCAACCTGGCATTTTAGTCACATTTACACAAATCGAGTGTGAAGGGGTAAATAATCTAGATGATTCAGGCCCACAGCTCAGATGTTTCTGTGGGTCTGAATGTAATAGTCACTGTTTTCCACTTAGTTCTGTGTGGGTGGATGAAGCTTTAGAAGTATAAAGTGGAAAAGCCACATTTTCATATAAATAAGATTGTCAGATCTCCATTAGTTAAATATTTATGTCTTCTAGGATATGAATGTGTCAGAACCAAAAATTCTTACATAAAGTGTACACTGATTACACATTTGCAGGATTGAAAATGAAAGTAACATTGGTGACTTTCTAAATTCTCTGTTTACACATGCAGAGTGTGAAGAATTAGAGCAGTTGTTCAGACCATCTAATCTATATACCTCTTGTGCAAAATATTCAGATAGTTTTTTTAGAAATTGATATGTATTCCACACTAATTTAGATAAAACAGGTATTAAAATTAAAGTCATCACACACAAATTCCTAAATTTCCGAATTTCCTGGTAATAATTTACACAACCAATAACTAGTTCATCTAAACACAAAGTCTAAGGGTTTTGGGGCCCCCATATTCACATAGCAGAGAGATTCTTTTTTAGTTAAATAAGGGGGGAAAGATTTGTAAGTCAGATTTACTAAAATAATTCATGCAATTTTACATTCCCTTAAAAAATGGGGTTAATGCGTAAACGTAAATTATTTTTTCTAGGAAACTGAAAATGGTTAAATCGCAAGGACCTGAATTTGGGTTAAACTGTTTCCCTCAAATTGTTGCACCCCAAAAGAGCTCTAAACAAGGTATTTTCAGCTAATTTTGACCCGAAGTTGAGGAATTTTTTTTTAAGTGAGGTTGACTGTACAACTGCCGGGAAAGGAGAAGTAAAAAATAGGTCCTTTCTTGGCTAGGCTACATTTTTCAAGCAGGTATTATTTTAATTAAAGATTTAAAGGTGTTTTTGTGATTCTGCTCAAAAGACGCATACAGAGTGTTTTTCAGGAAGACACTGAGAAAGCAAGAAAAACAATTCAAGACGGGGAGGAAGGAGTGGAGGGAGTTGGGAAATAATGAAATAAAATTAAAGTTTCTCTGAGCAAAAAGGATACTTTAAAAAGTATCTCTAACAGGAAAAAATCCCCACAATTGTTGCATGTACCCCATTTCTTCCATTTTTTTCTTCCCTGAACAGGCATCTTTAATGTGAATTTTTAGAGATTGCGTTTTAGGAGTCCTGGGCCAGGAAGCAGTGGATGCTCGCCGCGCTAGGCACGTTCACAGGAGCGCAGTCCCCAAGTCGCCGAGTGGATCCACCACACTTCTGTGTCAAGTCTCCAAATTCGTCCCCGCGACTCGGGACGTCTTCCCCAGGGTCCAGGACTGCGTAGCCTGCTGCAAGCGTCCCTTTGAGGGGAACGAGCCACCGGCGCCAGCCACGCCCTGCCCCGCTACCCTGGCCACTGCGCCGGTCGTCTCTCCAAACTACAATTCAGCCCCGCGTTCGCAGCAGTTGCGGTGTCGGGCTGGCTGGCTGGCGCTCGGGGACCGAAAGACTAAGTCTGTCTCCAGGTTTGAAACTTGCAGCTCCTGAGGTCCCGCACTGCCCGCGTGGCTGCGCGCAGTACCCGCGGCCGGGGCGCCCGCAGGCCGCGGGGGTCGGCTGCGCCTCCGCTAGCTCAGCGGAGCTGGGCGGTTTCTCAGAAACTTGCCTCTCTCATCATCTCTCTGGGCTAAGAAGGAAGCGAAAGTCCCTCATTCCTCTCCACAAATAGACGCTCCCCATCAGTGCCCTGCCAACTGCAGAGCGGTGGGGGGACTGGAGCGAAAGGGAGAACCTTTCAGAATTTGTGGATCCTCCAGGGCAGCAGCTCGCTCCCACCCCCACCCCGGGCTCCAATGACCCGCAGCCCCGCGCATTTCGAAAGGCTTCCCGGCTCGCGGGCGGCACGGAGGCCCTCAGTGGAGCGCGTGAGGGCCGAGCGCCAGAGCGGCTCGCGGGGGTTGCTTCCCCCCTCTACCCACTTTGCGAAGTCTCCCCAATCGCAACCCCAGCTCTCCAGAGCGGGAGTGGGTCAGGGAGGCACTAGGAAAATATGGGTCCAGGGGCTGCGATTGGGGGACGGAGGGACCCTGGAAATCAACAAAAAGGTAGCAGGGCGGGGGCGGCCTTTGTGGCCACCGTGCGTCCACCGCCCGGGTGCGCGGAGCGACTTTCCCGGCAGCCGTGGAACGCTGTCTTCGCCATTTCATCATCTTAGCGTCGACACTTGTTCTTCATAAGTTGTTTTTTATGTTGAAAAGAGTGTTTTGAAAGTTCGTCTAGGCTCTCCCAATCTGTTTCCCAGAGTACTAGTTTTTTTTTTTTTAAGTTACCATTTCTTTCACCTGAGCCACACCCTAATCACGCTCCCTTCCCTCCCGGGCAAATTGAAGGTAAATATCCTGGAAGCGAAGAGGAGGTGGGGATAGGGAGAAGAACCACGGTTGTGCTAGAACCACCCCGGGGGGGGGGGGAGAACCTCAGGGATCTGGGCTCGCGTGGGGGTGGGGTGGTGGGATCAGCCTCAGACCCCGCAGAACCGAAAGTGTAGTGTTTACACGTAAATTCGTCTCTCTATGTGTCTCTCCCACCCGCGTACCAGGCTGGTCTCGCGTGGGGACAGAGTAGGCAGGAATCGGAAAGTAAAAGAAATCTCTGCGCGTTGGGCGCGAAACGTCGAGGCACCTCGAAAGGAACGTGAAGAAAAAGCAGGGAGGAGGCACGCAGCCAGGCCCGGGGCCGGGGGATTGCATCACTGCAGCTCCCCCGCCAGAAAATGGGCTCCAAACCGCGGCCACCATCATGGCGTTCGGGCCGGGCCGCGCTTCCCGCGCGCTTTCCCCGAGCGCTCAAGCCACGGGCACCGAGCCTCCAGCCAGCGTTTTGCAAACATTTCCTCTCCCTCGCGCGCGCGCGCGCGCGCCCGTGTGTCCCCCCACCCCCCTCCTTCCTTTTGTGTGCTTGTGTAAGTGTGTGCGTGCGTCCGTGTGACTGTGCGTGTGTGTGGACTGGAGAACTTGAAGATTGTTTTTTTCCTCTCGTTTTTTTTTTCCCCTCCTGTGCTGGTGGTTGTAAACTTGATTGGCATTGGCTGCGCCCACTGACCCCTGCGCTGAGTCCACTGAAGATTTAAGGTGGATCTGAGAGGCTGCAGCTACAGGCGGGGACTCGCGCTAGAACTGGTTTTGGAGGAAAAAAAGCCCCAAACCCGGCGCCCGCCGAGTTTTTTACAAATCCCCGGTGGTAACAGCCCCCGCGCGCCCCGCCCGCCGCGCGCTTCCTCCGCCCACCGCCCTCTTCTCCCCCATTGGCCGAAGACTGTAGTTTGAATTTTTTTTTTTTTTTGGATGCTTGCTTTCTTCCGAAAAGTTCGGTACCCCAGATCGTGTGACAGGACCCGCTTCGGCGGACCAAAGTGGGGTATTTAGTGGTTTTGCGGAGGCGGGAGAGAAGAAGGTGGGCGGAGCTTCTGTTCCAAAATTTTACCCCCAAGTGCGTTTCACAGAGTGCAGGCGGGTGGGGAGTGAGGGGCCACGGTCAACGACCAGGGGACGCTTTGGCGAAGCCAGAGATGTAGTATAAACGTTAATGGATGTCCAGGCTGCGCCGTTTCGCCGGCCCCTGGGCAGAGGTACTAGAGAGGCGCCGGCAGGAGCTCTGGCGAGGATGCACCTTCCCCTGCCTTGGAAAGGTAGAATTGGGGAAGGCGGGAGGGTGAAGGTGGCCTGGAAAAGAGCACCTCACTGCCAAGGGGGAAAAAAAGAAAAGAAATAAAGAAACAGAAGAAATGCAAATACAGGGGGAGGAAGTATTATTTCAGGAGCCACTCAGTCAGAATTCATCCTAACTCAGGCAGTCGGTGTCATTTTTACTGAATTTTTTAAAACAAGTTTTCTGTCTCTGATTTCTGAGTGTTTTTGTGTGAAGAAAAGGTTAAAACAAAATCGAGAGGGGGAATGACTTTGAAAGTGTCTTTGACTTCTGTATCTAAAAATTAATTCCTTTGGTAAAGTACTTTAAGATTTAGGAAAAAATGTTATTTATAATACAGGTGTAATACATATGGTATCATTCATTAATTATAAACCAATTAGGTTTTACTTTATGGTGAAATTTTTCAAGTTTATCATGTTTTAAGTTAATTTCCAAATCCATTTATCTCCAGATGAGTGAAATTAGCATATCTACAGTTTGTGGGGGCGGGGGTGGGGGGTGAAGGTGGGGGGTGTCTGTTTCTCTTCTTGCAGTGTAGCTGAGGAGTTGAACCAGATGTCCAGTCTCAGACTTTGGTCTAACAGTTCCTATCCAAACTACCCCTATCCACTTTTCAGTTTTTAATTCCCCCAATACTTCCTAGCCCAACCAACTAACTCCTTAAGGTTAGCACAACCCAACTGAGCCTCTTAGACCGCCACAAGCCAACCTGCTTGTGCTCTTAGTAAGGAATTTTTTTGAGTTAAGATTGTCCCCAAATAGACTGGCTAGCTTTAGGAAACAGTGAGCTCATCATGCCTGACTGTGCGAGTCAAGCCCTAGTCTGGGTGATCCCTTGATAAGGACATAGGAGAAAAGATTGAACAATCAAATGGATATTAGGACTTGTGATTTTTAAAGTCTGTTCCAGACCCTTGAGATACTGTATTTCCAACCGTGGAATTATGCTGTGTTTGTAAACAGCATCTTTTACAGTGATGTAAAAATGAGAAATTTATACCAGGTTCCCAAGAATTAGTCTAAAAATATGTTAAATATATTCATTAATAATTTTATATGGATTAGATGTTGAAATGATCATACTTTTGAAGTACTAGTTTAAAATATTAAATATAATTCCATCTGTTTCTTTTTACTTTTTTTAGAGTGGTTACTAGAGTGTAATTTACAGATGTGATTTACATTCTATTTCTGTTGAACATTGTTACCTAAGACCAACACCCATGGTGACTTGAAGCTCCATCTTTGAGATTGGTGGCTAATAATACTGAGTAGGTGGTAACTTCCAGCTGCCATCCTAACTTCCTAAGTTAAATCAAGGCTATATCTTAGCCACTAGAACCTTTAAAAATAATTCTACCAACACTTAATACCTGTCTGATTAAGTTAGACTTGATCACCACTTTCCACGTTTTGTACACAAACTAGGAAGTCCAGTATGTTAGGAATGACTCTGGGAAAAAATGTAGACCCCAAACAAAACTCCCACAGGTAACTTTCACTACCACTCATCAGCAGACAGGAAGGCGGTGGAGAGATGGAACAGTGTTCTCATTCTGAGATTGTATCTCTAACAGAAGATGTGAACAAAGCAAAAGGTGTGTCATATTCTTGGATGGGAATGCTCAGCATGATAAAGATGGCAAGTAAATCTACACCTTTAACATTAAATTTATACCTTTACACTAACTTCTGATAAGTTCTGACTGTCCTATTTTATTCCATTGCTCTATCAGTTTCAGCACTCAGGACCAAATTATTTTAATTACTATAAATTTAGAGTATGTTTTAATTGCTGGTAACACTAACCCTGCACACCCTGACTGGTCCCTTTTTCAGAATTTTTCTGGCTTCTTTTGCTCACCTTTCTTCCTCATATGAATTTAAAATGAATTTGTCTAGATGCAAATATAATTTCTATTGGCATTAAAAAAATAAAGTGAAACCTCATCTCACATCTTTTTTTGCATGTTCTTGATAAATGTTTATTTATTGTAGAATTCTAGGAGTGGGGTCTTCTGGGGGAATGTAGATGAAAACAGAAGTTTTTTTGTTCAGAGAGGTTTTGTCTTTAGTGGGATTCTGTAAAAATTAAGATAGTTTCAAAAACTTGGGCCTTAGGCAAACATGAGCTCTCCTGCTAGTTCTCATCTGCAGGCCCTGGCAACAGAAAGCTACTAGAAGCCAGGACAAGTGAGAATACAGAGTGAATAAAGCCAGCCTTTTGGAAACCCAGCCCCTCAGTCCGTTTGGGCCTCTAAAATGCTTCCCATTTCTGGGTTGCCTCCTGGGATTGAAATGTTTTATGGTTATAACACAAGATGCTCTTCCACTATTGTACTTGACCAAACTACTTTTCTCAGAGTGACATGAGCTCTTAAAGTTTATGTTCTCTGGTTCCTATTGTAGTAATAACAGAAAAAAGGGAGGGAGGAAAAAAAAAACAAGGTGAAGCTGAAACTGCTGGTTTTACCCTGATTCTTGGTGGAAAACGAGAATGGTTACTAAAGCTAGACTTGGGGTGCAGGGCCCCTCTCACCCTTCCCTATGGAACGACACTTACCTTACTTCCTGGGTGTCCAAGGCATTGCTGCATCTCGGTTTTCCTCCTGCCACACTAGTGCCTTTTCTAGATTCACAGGTTTTTGTCTTTCAACCTTCCTCTTGGTTCAGGCAAATCCCTCAAGGTCCAAACTCTTTGCTGAATGCCATCATACCTTCTCTTTGATTTCAGCTGTCACCAAAAGTTGAATGACTCTAAGTCTGTTAACTGTGATCTCTCTTTTGATGTCTAGATCTAAGTTTCTATCTCACATTTATATCAGGATAAATTCCTGAAGGATTTAAGAGTGAAGTGTTAAAAAAATAGCCATAGACATACCAGAAGAAACCTCAGAGGATTTAAAAAAGTATAGTCTCAGAGTGGGGAAGATCTTCCTAAGTATGACACAAAACACAGAACCCATAAAATAGAATATAAATTCAATGACATAAAAATAAAAACATGTTGCATACCCAGTCTGCCATAGCAGAGTGTGAAGACAATGACAGGGTTATGTGAGCATACTTAGTGCCGCTGAACTCTCTAGTTAAAACGTTTCACATGGTAAATTTTACATTATGTGTAACTACAGTAGTAAATAAATATATAACCACTGGAAAAATCTTTAAGTTCATCCACATTCTAGCTACAAGAGTCTCACACAGGATTCTGGGTCCCATCCTCCAGGAGACAGTGGTTTGACTTTAGGATCTGGAGTCAGACTGCTTGGGTTTGAGTCCCAGTTACCTAACTTAATGCTCGTGGGACTTGCTGCGTTGCAAGGTACTTCACCTTTTGAAGTCTCTGCTTCTTTGGCTATGTGATGAGAATGTTTACAGCTCTCTCATGGGGTTATTAGAACTGTCAGGTGAGATGATGTATGTGCGGTACTTAGCACAGGACCTGGTGGTGTATGGGGGTGGGCAAAAGTAGGTTTACAGTTGTGAGTACACAAAACAGTTTTTTCTTCTTTTATTATTTATTGATGATTGTGTTATTTATTTGTATTATAACTGTAAATCTACTTTTGTCCACTGCTGTATAATGAATAACCATTATATTTTTACAAACAGTGTAGTTAACAGAGACATCCAGTTTGTATTTTGGATTCTCAAGTAACTACAACCAACACAATGTTAACCTTGTAAAAATGTTTTCTCATTTTTGAAAAAAATTATAAAATTTATTGATATGAGAGAGAGAAAGAAAAACATTAATTTGTTGTTCCACTTACTTATGCTTTCATTGGTTGATTCTTATACCCTGGCCAGAGATCTAACCGGCAACCTTGGCATATTGGGATGATGCCCTACCAACTGAACTACCTGGCCAGGACAGTTTCCTCATTTTCAAATGCTGCTTTTAATTATCCTCAAGGAGAACAAATGATTTTTATTGGGCACTTAATGAACGGAATTAATGTATTGCAAAAATTGTCAGAATGGTAAATTTTATAACATTTCACTACAATTTTCAAAAATGCTTAAAAAAATAAGGCATTTGGCTGAGTTTAGGGTCATCTCTAATTAGCTCAGAAAGGACCTGGTATAGATTTGTTTGTGGTACTAAATCAGTAATGCTCACATCCATACAGGCAATGGAAAGTTGGGGAAAATGTTTGCAACCCATTTATCAAAAGGCTAATTTCCCTGATAAATAGAGTCTACAAGTTAAAGAGAAAAAGCAAACAAACCAATAGAAAAATAAACAAGGGCTATGAGTCACAATTTTCAGAAAAGAACATACAAAAGGCTTCTCAAATGTGGAACTATGTTCAGTTGTAGTTTGAGACTGCTGGGATATAAATTATACACAGAATACATAAATTTAAGGAAATAGAGTTACAGTCAGTGCCATTCATGCAAAGGTGATCATTATCCTTTCCTGATAGTTTAACCTTTGCTTCCTTGCCTTCTATCCAAGGCTGAGTGATTTTTTTCCCTAGCTTCATTGGTGACCAGAGAAGCAAGGAGTTTGCATGTGTGGAAGCCATGACCACCTTTCAAGTTCAGGGTCAAATCTCCCTTATCCAAACTGTTTAATCTTTGTCTTACTGGCATCACCTTACTTTGCTCTTAGAAATCTGAATCAGCCTCTTAAAGCAAGCAATGACCTTTCTCCACACATCTCGTCCATTCCTGTTTTTAAATGCCTGAATATTGGCCGATAATCTGATTCTCCAAAATCATGACCTTATTCTGGCTTTCCCTTCAAGTTCTCTATTCTCTTAAAAGCTTCAAGTAGAATTTATTCCATGATTAATATGAAATGTCAAATCAGTAGAGGGAGAGTATATGATGGAGTAAATGGTGTTAGGTTGGAACTACACATACATGACACATTGTACATTTTATACTTGGGTTTAGTCTTTGATCAGGAGTTCCTTTTCTACAAATTTACTTTTGGGAAATGGTCAGATATGAGACTAAAAGATA